CCTCCATCCCTGCTTGGTGAACACAAGGAAGTTAGAGTTGGGCTGCAACAAGTTGCCAGTGACACTCAACTATGTCCTTTTCATTTTCTGATCCAGACAGTCCATGCTATCTTTTTGCCTGTCTAGGTGAGACTGGGACAAAATGTGGATGGCAGAGGTGCAGTGGAGGCAAGCTGGAAGTATGAAGGAAGAGCTAGAGTGGAAACTGCTTCCCCTTCCCCCCTATAAATGGGGGGAGCTTGCAGGCCTGGCTTTTCTTTACTTCCTTGCCCTAGGGTCATGGCAGTAGTAGCTGGGAGGGCTCTTTAGCTTCATATTTGTCTGATTGTACTTGTCAGAGCAGCCCACCCCTATGTTCTCCTCAAATTGGACGCTGTAGCATACTGTCATGACCTTGTACAGAGTGCAACATCTTGTGAAGTAGAACTGGCCATTGAGCCACAGTCCACACTAGTACTCCAAATGCTGCATGGACATCCAATCTGTTCCATGTTGGTGCAAAGCACAGTGCTGACTGGGGCTTGTAATCAATGCCCCATGTTACCAGCAGCCAGTTTGATTCAAGGTCAGTGGCACACATCTGCATCCTATTTCATGGTGTCCCCACTGGTCAGGAATTCTGTGTCAGCTTCAGATACATCAACAAATGTGGACATTCATTGAGTTAAATGTGGAATGAAAGATGCACAGGCTTTTATTCTTTAATTTGATAGTAGATATTATTCATTTGATATACTGTTAACTGTCCTGATGCTACAGAATTGCTCAGGTGTAGAAGCTAAGATTTGACAGCTAGTGGGATAATAACAATCACTGTTTGGTTCCCCAGGAAGGAGGCAGGAGTCATCAGCAGTGAAGTAGTTACCAGTTGTGGTGACTGCAGTTATTTCAAACCAAGGATCTTGCAAGGTATATTGGCCAGGCCACACCACTTAGTGTAGTTGTTTCAGGCCCTCTCCAAACTCAGGCAGGTGTCATTGCCTTAATTTTTCCACAGCTTACAATTAGAAGGCTTTCTTCACATCTGCAAAGGCAAGCCACTTCTTTTAACAAAGCTTCAAGTTTATATTCTGGATATAGGTAATAGAGCCCCAGGGCTTTCTCTGTGACACACTTTCGTAGGTTCCTTGATTCTTGAGGAGGCTGCTGCTCTTACACTGCATTTCTACTGGCCAGATTCACCGACATCATCTTGTTGAGAGTCACCAGGTAGGGACCACTGAGGGCTGATGGTGGGAAGGTTGGCACATGGTGGAAAAGAAACCTTGATCCTGTAATTTCCTCTTCTTTCCACCTTCTCACTTAGTCTGTCAGAGCCAGAGCAGATGTTTGCCCTACAGGGTACAAAGATTTGGGTTTGTTCCCAAGTATTTTTGCTGTAAGGCAAGATGGACTCCTGAATGGGTTTGTGCCTAGAAGTTGTGTGTAGTTTATTTGGGTTTTTTGTCTGTTTGTTTGTTTGGTTTTTTAGTTTACATTGTGTAAGTTAATTTGTTCTAATTTGGATCTCTTCCTGATTGATCTTTGTGTGCCTCAGGGTTTCAAAGTCTTTGCTTGTATAAACACTAGCTTCTATTTATAGTACTTTCACTTTAGAAATTAATGGACCATACCTTTTACATCATGTTGCTCACCTCTTGATTGCAAAGCATTTGAAGGATTGTAAGGATCCCCCTTCTCTCTGTGGGATTGGGGTGGGGGGCTGAGACCCAGGGAGGTACAGTGCCTTGCTCCAGGTCACTCAGCTGGTCAGTGGCAGAGCCACCTGTAGAACCTAGATCTCTGCATTCCACCCCAGCACCCTGTGTGCTGGACCACGCTGCCCCTCGCTGTACTATAGGTTTTAACAAGCTCCTTGAAGTGCTCTCTAAACACTCTGACTAGCCCATTGTCTCTTGTTTCTTTCCAGTTTTTCAAGGCCTTTTCCAAGAGCCCAGAGGATGGAAAGAGGCTCTGTGAGTATTCAGTTTATTTTTAAAATACTAGAATTCTTTGCAGAGTTGCTTTCTTTTAGCTTGCAGCCCTTGTACCTGCTGAGTTTTGTAGCCAGGGCAGGCTGGGAGAGCAGTGCCCCCCAACTGGGGCAGCTAGGAGCATTACCAGAGTGCAGACCTCTGGAATGACACCTTGCCTCAGGAGGGGGAATCCTTACAGGGTATCAGTGAAGCCTGAACTGAAGCTTTATACAAGAGACAGATCTGTGCCCTGAGCTCTTACCCACTGGGTTGCAGAGGCTGCCAGATGGACTGGGGAAGTGCCCAGTAGGGCCTGTAACTCTTTAACTACCTCCCATACAAGGTGAAGCAGTGGTGGCTGTAGGATTGGAGGAAACCACTATAGTTGGGGCTGGTGTGCTAACAGATACCATCATTGACTTCTTGTGCAGGCTGCTTTGAGGCTGACATCAATGTATTTTATTCTATGTGCAGATCCTGGTGACAGCCTTCCAGCTTTGAGACAGAGCCTAATTACCAACCTAGAGAGGCACCAGGATGCCTGGCCTCCTGCTTGTCCACCACTGGAACCAGCCAGGTAACTGGAGGGTAATAGACTAGTTCAGGTACCAATGTGGGCATTCTGCATGTGTTGGAGAGATGCCTGCACACACAGAACTGGGTTCTGGGGTAGAGATTTCTTTTGGGTGGAGGGGGTATGCTGAGGGTGTGGAGGAAGACACATGAGAAGTGAAGTTGTCCAGAGCAAAATTTTATATAGTAGTTCATCCTTGGTGTGTCTCTTGACTGCAGCCCTAGATTTTTCCACGTGCTGATACCCTTTTTGTTTCAATACATGTTGTAGAGGAACGTGTACTCGCCATATATAACAAACTAACCTTGGGAGTGGACTGGAGGCCTTTCCTAAGCTTTCCTTGGGACTGATAAACAAAAGTTGCTTTGGAAGAAGGTTCTCAATCTCAAATAGGCAAACTTTGATAAACCAAGGGAATTGGTGAATGTGGAAGAGGCTTGGAGTTTCTGCAAGTTGCAGGTGCACAAGCTATCTGAATCTTGTATCTCAAGCATTTCTCTTGTATTTTCTCGAGGGGAGAAAATATTGTAGGGAAGGGCTTCTGACCAAAGTGGATGAAGAACAACATTAGAAAGGAGTAAACATAGAGCCTTTAAATTAGAGATTATAAATAATCTAGGAATAGCCCCAAAACAAGATGAACAATATTGTGCCTCAGTTTTCAGTGTGCCTGGTGATGTGGACAGTGCGGGGCAAAAGCAGAATACATAATTATCCTGGACCCCTCTCCCTGCCCACCTGTGGCCCCGTCCCACCTGCCTGCCCACCCCATCCAGTGCCTCTGGTGGTAGGTGTGAGGTGGACAGGCCAGGGTGCTCAGGCAGTGGGGCTAGGGTCAGCACCAGCAGCACTGAAACTGGCAGTTGCAGCTAGGAGGAGTTGCTGCCACAGGGGCTGCTGGGAAACTGAATCCAGTTTCTGTGCTGTGCTGCCCCAGCCCCACTGCACACCCCAGGGCAGCAGAACCGGCCTCACATGCCATGGCCGGGGATAAAATCCCTTGGTGGGCTGGAACTGGCTCGCGGGCTGTATTTTGCCCACTCCTGTTCTAAGCATTACCTACTTTGTTAATGCCGCAGGCTCTGGTGAGAAGCTATAATAGTCAAGCCAGGCAGCCTGCTCTCCTCTGTTGGAGTCAGCAGTCAGAAATGGGAAAGACCAGCTTCTGCAATCATCCTGCCACAGGGTTGCCCCTGTGTGAATGGAAGATCCTCTCTTCCCTTCCCAGAGAAGCTGCTTCCTTGTACTTTCTGCTGTGTCTCCATGAAGCTGAGATTGGCTGGGAAGCTAGATCTGAAAAAAACAAAAGGTTTGAGTCACACTGCACACTACCTACTTAAATGCCCAACCCCCATATTTAAACATCAGTGGGGGAGACCCCTGCCTCTCCTGATGTTGGACAGTATGTTGCAAATCTCACTCCTCTCTGCTGCCTTAGTTTTATAGCCTGTACTCCCAGAAATGCTTTCTCCTGCCAAACCATTTGGGTTGGTCTAATAAAAGATATCAAATTCACCCAAGGAACCTTGTCTGCCTATGTCCTTAGACCTACACGGCTACAACCCAAACCCCTTCTCCTGCCAAAGGCACTCCACTGAGCCTGTGTAACCCAGTGTCTCCCAGCTCCAAGCCCTGTGCTCCAGCTTGGTAGATTCATTTCACTTTTCCAGATACTCTGGGCCAATGCCTGCTCTCTGCACTGTGCCTGGCTGTGATTCCTCGGCATGGGTTTCTTGAAGGGCTGATGTTTTGATGTTCCCAAAATTAGCCCTGGGGCTAGTGCCCCACCCTTGCCCTGCCCTTGTTGCACTACTGAGTTGTTCCATTGAAACCAATTAGTGTGTCCACTGCTCTCCCACTATAAGTGGAAGCAAAACCATGGCAAATCAGCAGCTGTTTGCTTACAGTGAAAGCTGACCCTTTTAGCTTCACTTACGTGGGACAGGAGCACACAGACATAATGGTTACAACAAATCAACTGGCACGCACTTTAAGAGTAGTAAGACCCGATTCCCATTTGAAGGCAATATAATTGCTTTGTCCATCAGCAAGCAGAGTTATCTAAATAGCAAAAATCTCCTTTGAGTGGAAGTTGAAGATGACCCTCTACTAAGTCCCTGTGTCCCAAAAAAGTCACCTCTGCCCTTTCAGACCATACCCCACCTACAGAGGGGCAGATTGGGCTTTGCCTAGCATGATGGGTCACCCTGACCTGAGTGGACTGCAAGTCCTGACAGAACTGCTCTGACTCCCATCCCAACACTGGCTTTTTCCATAGGACAAAGCCTAGCTTCAAGGCCTTGACTAAATAGTCTCACTCCCAGCTGCTTTCTTGGCTGATCCTGACAAGTTCTTGTGGAACCACTGAATTGAAGCAGAAAATCAGGGCAGAAAAATCAATGTGAAGTACATGTTAGATAAGCAAAGCTGATCCTGGCCACCTACCTCTGTGACAAATCTAGCTGGATTAAGGGCTCAGCTCCCTTCATGTGAGAAGGAAAAACACATAACTCTTTGAACAGCTGCTGTGTGCCGGCAGGGAGCATCCTGTCACAGAAGGAGCTCTTTCTGAGCTGCACAGTTCTTGCAAAAAGGGAATGTTCCTGTGTTAGTTATGACCCGTCACACTGCTTTGCTTTCCCTTGCAGCACAGGGGAGCTTCGTGGATTCTTTCAGCGAAACAACGTCACATACCTGGCCTTGATCTTTGAGAAGAATGACTCCTTTGTGGGTAGAGAGGTGATGGCTCTTGTACTTTGTTTTTCCTGCAACGTCTGTGTTTCTGTATCCACTAGGGGTCCCCCTAGTGCTTGGTACCCTCTGCATAAGGAAAAAGAAGACAGTTCCTTTCCTAAAGAGCTTTCATCCACATAGGATGAGCAGAGAAGCAAGTTCTCTTTCCGCACCTGGCACCTCTGGAGAGTTGGATAGATATTGATGCATAACATTAGTGTGGGGCCCTTCTTTATGACCATTACAGTTTCCATAGGTGTCACATGCCATTTGCTGCAGCTGAAAGAGTCAAAGACCCAGGTAGCTGCAAGTGTTCCAATGATGACTGAGCCCTGGGTTAGGAACCAGAAATTTCTGGGCTTTGAACCCATTTCTGCACCCAATTTGGGCTAGTCATTTACTCCCTGTGTGGCTCCAATGAGGGTTAATGCTTTTCTACTTCTCAGAGCTGTTGGGGGTCAGATAACATTTAGACACTGCCTGGAGGATGTGAAGGGTTGTACAAGGGCTGCTGGCCTGAAGGAACTGTGGGCTTCCTACTGCACTCCCTAGGATCAGCTCTTTCCACAGAGGAAAACTGCTGTAATGGGTCTGGTCCCTGGGATAAAACTGGGAACATTTTGTATTGCAGGTGATCCTGGACATGCAACAATACGAGAACATTGCTGTCCGGAGAGTCCTGAGCAGCGAGGAGGAGCTGGTGAAAGAGTACAGCGTAACCACCTTCCCTTCTGCCTACCTGTTTGTCAGCAGTGGCTCCTTCTCGCGTATCTCTGTGTGAGTCCTTGCCTGCTGGTTCCCAGGCTGCAAATAGGCTCCGTTGTTAGCATGTGTAAAGCAGGCTGAATCCTGACAATAGCAGGCAGTTCACTTTGTACCCAGACCTGGGAATTTGAATCATGGCACTGCTGGGTTGATGGACAGATTGCCTGTGTTGGGCGTAGGGAGTGTGAATCCTGGCCCTTGTGGGTGATGTCCAGGGTCCTTGGATACCGTCTGGATGGTAATATTCACAAAGGGTCTGTAAAAGCTGCTGTACCTGTCTATGAGATCTTTTAAAGCTGCTTTACAGAATTTAATAGATAATCCTGTCCCCTTTCCCAAGAGCTATGTCAGCTGGTTTGAAATCCTCTGCGTAGGAAAAGGACATCCTTCCTCCTCTCAAACTCTGTAGGATGTTTTCTTATGGGAATTGTAAAGATAGGATGTTGCTGGGCTTATCTAACCCTACTGGGACTGAAGTGAGTACAGACTCCTGTTACCCAAGTGATTACCCAGAACCTGCTGTCTTCTGTTCTTGGCTGCTCTTGTGACTGAATTTTCCCTTCTCTGTTTCTCCCATTGTCCCAGTTCAGCCACAAATTGCCTGAAGGATCCTCTAAACTTACTCCAGCTGCAGGTGTTTTGTAGGCTGATGAATAACAGGGCACATGTAAATCTGTCAGGGAATCAAGTTGTGCCTGAACCTCTCTCCATCTAGCCCAGCCTTTCCACTCCTCCCCCTTGATTTTCTAATTGCAAAAAAGTTCATTAGGAAGCAGACAATGGCTGGTTCTGAAACAGTGGCAGAGAACAATGGGACTGGCACTTGGCCCCTCAAGTGAATTCCTGCTCCTGAATGGCACATGAAATAGCAGCCAGATGGTGCCTTCATACCCTCAATGGATGATTGATATCAGTTCTG